AAAGAAAGAAAGAAAGAAAGAAAGAAAGAAAGAAAGAAAGAAAGAAAGGGAAAGGAAAAGGAAGGAAGGAAGGGGAGACTTTATAAATTGTAAAGCTAGTTTTGTAGGACTATTTTCAAGTGTACTAAGGATGGTTTCTATACAGTACTATTGGTTGAATTGTGTCCCACCAAAATCATGTTAACTTTTAGTCCCCAGTACTTCAGAATGTGACATGATTTTAGAAAGAATCACTGGAGATACATATAGTTAATTTTGATGTGGTCATATTGCGGTGGACCCTTCATAAGTATGATAACAGAAAGGGAGAAAGGACACACATTCCTATTTCTAAGGAAGCATTTCTATCTCCTGCAGATAAACAAAGTGTACTGGGGCCTGGAGAACAAAACTGACCAGCAAGCTACCTGAGTCACTTCACAGCACCGAGAAATAAGACTTTGTATGGGTTGAAAGAACAAGGAACCCCAGTTGAGCATCAGTCTTTGGGAATCTCCAACCTTGACCATCAACCACTGAATGAGGAAGGACTTAGGCAGGTAGGTCTCACTGTACTTTGTGTCTGTTGTCAGATGCTGTTGGTTTGAGCTCCATAAAGCTGGAAGCCAGTGTGTGACTGTGTGACTGGGAAGACTGTCTCCTTGGGGTCAGTCTGTTATCCTGCAGTCCCTTTATGGGGCATGGAGACTCTGCTACTCTTGCCCATTCCGTGCACTGTGTTCTCTAGACTTTGTCAACCCAAACAGCCAGGCCCACACTGCTTCGGATGAGATTAGAGACACGGAGACCTGGGCACCTCCTGGATCCAAAGGGAGGCTCTTCTCTCTGATTAAAGGGGAGTTTGTTTGTCCTTGAGTGAGATCACCCGCCTGGCAGGGGAGCTCCCCCCGCTGCAGGTGGGCTGGAGTGGATTGCTGAGCCCTGAGTCACCTGTGACTGAAACTGGTTGCCTTGGACCAATAACTGCAAATTGTCACCCACAAAAGCTAAAATACATGGACAAGCTTTCTGGTTACAGGGAGCTCGGGAAAGACTCCACGAACGTGTTTATCCTCTGAGTGTGCATGGTCTCTGAAAACACTGGGAGAAACAAGTGTGCTTACATGCCTGACTGCTCTGGACCCTCAAGGCCACATTCCCCTTCTGCTTCACATGAATCGGCATCCAAATGTCTGACTTATTTGTGTTTCCTTTCTTGGAATAAATATAAAAAATATCAGATAGAGATCATACCTGATCCACAAAGATACATGGGGGAATCATGTGCTGAATGAAGTCACTTTGTCTGTAAACATGAAACTTTCTGCTGATCCAAAGTCACCCACAGACTAACTAGACAAAGTCACGCAACAACTCCATTGTCTGCCTGAGCTTTCTCTGCCTAAGTCCTTCATCTCTAGCATCTCCGCTTAAGGATTAATTCCGAAGGAATGGGCATCTGTCTTCAAAAGAAGTTTTTCCTTCAAAGCCACAGTTTGTCTGGAAGTTAATAATACTTTCGTTCTGTTTGCAGGTGAGGTTTGTCTTTTGAACTTGTATGAAGTTCTGGCTGACTTGAGAGATGGGGATGGGAAAAGGCCGGAAAATTCTCAAGCCAAATCAGGGATTCTAGCTATTTAAGTTTTATGTGAAGTTGCCTACGATAGGAGAATTTGCGCTAATACACCACAAAGACCACGGAAAAGAATTACTTTTTATTTTTCGTTGTAAGAGATAGTCTACCTGAATAAAAATGGAGATTATAAATTGAGAATTCTCAAGTTCAATGCTTCTTTTTCCCTATTCAACAATTTCAGGGATCTACAAATTCTATAAATTTCCAATAGGGAAATGTTAAGACCCTCTGCAAAAACCATATCAAATTCGATCACTTCAATTGGTTTCTGAAATCCACCAAAGGGCTCCTTAACCACTTCTTTTCATCTTCTGTTGACACTCACGGAATGTTTAGAACAGCAGAGAGGCAAGGGTCAAACGATGGCTTTAGTGGCCATTCCTTGTCTCCTTAATAAAGACACAGTCTCCACATTTGTAAAGGAAACGGTGATTTTCTGCCTTGGGAGCAGCAGCCTCGTGGTGGTAAACTCCACATCTCCTCAGTCTCTATTGGCCTGGAGCCGAGGGTAACCCAAAGTTCAACTGCTGTCAGAAGTATCCCCTGCCGAGACCTTCAGCGCTTCCAGAAGTGTGTATGTTGACCTTTACAGAGCACGACTTAGGCCAAGTAGAGACCAAGGATCATTAATAAATTAAAATAATATGGAGTAACTGGATTCGAAGCTCCGTGGAGCAGACACAGGAGGAAATCAGCAAATTGAACAAGAAGCTCTAGGTAACGGCAACTTATCAGAAACTCCCTTGGGCACAGCTCCCTGGTATCTCCCATGCTTAGCCTAGGAAATTGGGAACATCCTCAACCCAAAGAGTGGCTCTCTCATATCCTGGAGATTCAGCAGCCCTGAGTGAAATTTGAAGCCAATTAGGAGAACATATATTAATCTATTATAATGGGAACTCTGCTCCAAAATGATTTATTTAAGGCAAAATAAACAGGAGAAGCCTACTGATTTTATGCAAAAAGTTAAAGCAAATATTTGCTAGTCGCTGACTAGTGACTGGTGAGAAATGGAGGATGAGAGCGGCAACTTCTGTTTTCGGTTTCATGCTAAGGTTTCAAGACTTCCATCATTTGCCGTGGCTTCAAACTACATTGCAGTGTTGGTCACGACAGCAGTTCATCTATACTCAGAACGTGGAAGAGGAGAGAAAGATCAGAACAACCTGCTACCAAATTTGTCTCCGTGTTAACATTTACAGAAAGAGAGATGGAGACCTAGGGAAAGAGAGCGTGAGAGACAATGAGAGAGACGAGAGGCATAATTTGAGTAAACATCCTCATAGCAATAGAACCTTCCAGGTGATTGGCAAATGAGGAAAAACTTGGGACCAGGACCTGCCTGTCTCAGGAGAGCAGGAGGACTTCAACCCTTGACTTGGCCGCCCCCTAGTGTTCCATTGGTGTAAGCACCAGGTGAAAGCAGGTAGATTTTAAGGACAGATAACTAATTTCAACATTTACATCCTCCTAACCAGAGCCACAATACAGAAATTGTGTCAAGACAAACAGAATCACCTACAAGTGGCCTGGGAGCTCTTTCTGGGGTGCTGGTGACGTTCTGGATGTGGTCTGGTTGCCGATTTCCCTTATTAGGTGCTGCTGTCCCGATGACATTTCTGGGCGCTCTGCTCTACAGGTGGCACGGAATCATGGGAAATAGTCTCCGCCGGTGATAGAAGAGTTACCACGTGACTAGGATTGGCCGGTATAGTCCCTTCCATTGTGCTAATGTCTGCCTTTTCTTTAAAGAAGGAATCACGGGACAGGCTTCACTGACTTCCGGGACCAGACAGCCCACCTCTAGGAGTGCTGGGCTGGCCCTGGGACCAGGTGACGGCAGTCAGGCAGCTCGGAGTGGGGCCCAGAGCAGCAGAGGACCCTGCAGCAGGTCCAGCCTCAGTGCAGGTGGCCCGGTCCCTCTGTCAGTGGGCACACGGAGGACTTGAACGAGGATGTCAACCCTCGCGACATAATTGGTACTTGTAGGCCACTCTGTTGAAGACTCATAAAGTACATATTCCTCTTGAAATATTTGCTAAGATAGGCCACAAGGTGTGGGCGACAAGTTATGCCAATAAAATTAAATGGATGCAAATCACAAAACGTGTATTCTATGAAAACAGGGTAATTCTATTCCAGAGCAATGACAGAAGGTTATCAGAAAGCGCCCCAGATATTTGGAAACCAAGTAAGAAAACACTAAATAAAAGTAGGGTCCAGAAGGAACAAAAGGGGAAAGTGGAAAGTTTTTTGAGGTGAAAGAAAACACCGCATAGCAAAGTTTCTGGGAGACAAGAAAGCGGTGAACTTATAGCTCTGAATTGATAACAGTAAACATGCATATTGGCAAAGACGTTTCACATCAATCCCCTGAGCGGCCACCGTGGCATCCCGGTGAAAGAGGAGCATATGAGACTAAAACACGAGGGTCTTTCCTGAAGATAAGGGGGACAACGCCAGGAGCGCATGCTCAGGCGGCAGCACTGGACCGGGATCGCTGTGGGGAAATGCCCGGCTTACTAGACGGGCTGCATTTATTTGGCAAACACGAGCACGGCACGGAGGATTAGGGGGAGCCCTCAGGAGCTCTTGCATTCGCCATAACCGGTTCCTCACGGGACAGGAGCCCCTAGATTCCCCTGCTGCTTCTGCCATGCCAGGCCGGGCAGCTGTCGGGGCCTTAACATGTGGAGCCTGACGCCCAGCTGCAAGCTGCGCCCCCGGGTCCTCCAACTCCTTCCTCTGACACAGACTCAGAGGCTCTCCTGTGATTCCCCAGAGAAGCCACTCCCTCGGGCAGCTGGACGCCCCAGGCAGGGAGGTTTGTGTGCGGGCATGAACCACTGTGCGAAGAGACTGTAGATACTGCCCGCAGTAATACACTCCCACATCGTCAGCCTCCACCCTGCTGATTCTCAGGGTGAAATCCGTCCCTGACCCGCTGCCACTGAACCTGTCTGGGACCCCAGTGTAACGGTTGGAAACCAGGTAGATCAGGCTCTGTGGAGACTGGCCTGGCTTCTGCCGGAACCAATACAAACACGTGTTTCCATTACTGTGTAGGAGGCTCTGACTGGCCCTGCAGGAGATGGAGACCGGCTCTCCAGGGGTGACGGGCAGGGAGAGTGGGGTCTGTGTCATCACGATTTCCCCACTGGATCCTAGGTAAGGAGAGAGAAGTGCCATGATCGTTACAAATATATTTAGCTACTTTCATTGTTTCCATTTGGTTATTTAACCAAAATACTGCTTTTTACTCTCATTATTTGAGATTTCAAACATGCTGCAAAAATGCACATTCAATAATGAGCCTGAGATCCGTGAAGTAGAGAGAGGCCTCTGAACATTGCCCACCCCATCCCCACCTTCTCTGTCACAGTCCTCACTAGAGCACAGGTCCTTGTTCCTTCTGGAATCTTCCTCACCTCCCACATCTACACATCACCTGCCCCACCCTGGAGGTCAAGTCACACACCTCCTACAGGCACACACAATACATGTGCAGAGCAGAGGAGTCCCCACAGCTCACCCCCCACCCCCACTAATTCTCTTTCTTCTCCACCCTCTGTCCTTACCAGGGAACCAAAGCATTAGCAGCCCAAGGAGCTGAGCAGGGAACCTCATTTTGAGAAGCTGAACTGAGGAGTCCTGGTAAGTCAAAGCAAGATTCAAGCTGGCCTTTTATCTCAGACTTGTAAGGGCAGGACCTCCCTAGGGGACACTATGCAAATCCCCTGCTGGGTGCAGCAGTGTGGAAGGGGCAGGGGGGAGGTGGGAGGGGCCTACCTTTGAGCAGATTGAAATAAAAGGTCTTTGGGACCTTTGTGTTTGAGAGAAAACCAATAAAGTCAAGTCCATACTACCTGCAACAGTGGGAAGAGCAATCCCACTGTGAAAGTGTGGATCACAGCAAGCACCCAGTGCTTATGGTTCCTTCACTCTGAGCAAGCATCAGGGAGCGGATCACACATGTGAGTCCGGGGTCCATCTCTGGAAGGTGAATGCCATGTTCCTCACATTCTTCCACCTAGTCTGGGTAAGGAAGCAGCTCCCACCCCACTAGTCCTTGTCATCAGCATTTCCCCCAGTAACAGTTTGGAGTGGAGCTAGTTCAAGAGTTGTCTGGTCCCTGCTCTCATCAGGTCAAGTGTTAAGAACGGTAAAATCGGGTGTTAGAAATGGCCTTTTCCTGAAACCAAGTGAATGAAATTTCCAAAATGCACTCAAATGAAAGGAACTTGACAGGGAGGAAAGGATGTGTCTGTTCCAGAGAGACATACTAGCCCAGCGTGAGACAATAGAAAAGGTAAAAGAATATTATATCCCAGGCTGTGAATATGAAAACATGATATTCTGGAAAACCGGTTGTTACAATATGGTGCAGGATCAGTCATGCTTATCTCACTCCATATACACATCTAGATAGAGAGACAGAATTAATCCAAGGTTTCTCAGAGAAATAATTCCCTTGAGATGATGGGAAAGAAATAAAAAGAATTTATTCTATATATATTAAAATAGTGCTTAGTACTCTGCCCATACTGACTCCTTGTCATCAAGTAGAACCTGGTCCTGTAAGGACATCTCCAGTTCTTGTTAGCTCTGTGTGAGATCCTGAGGCTCTCACCTGACCTGTAGGCTGGGGATGCACCTCCACGAGTCTCCAATAGCAATGGGAGATTGCACTGTGAGAAGAGCAATGACTGCATCCATCATTTTAATACCTCAGGGAACATGGACCCATCGCTGTCCAATTCCTGGACTTTCATTTCTTTTTTTTTAAATTTTTTTATTGTTATGTTAATCACCATATATTACATCTAGACTTTCATTTCAATAAGGTCACTATGGACTAGGGTGCTGGGTCAGAGCTGCCTGGGACCATCCCCCAACCAGCCTTTATAAATAAGGAAAGAGCCTGACTTTACTTCTCGTGTCTCCTTGATGCAGGTCATGTTGAACTGAACAGCTCCTGAACAGTACTAATCATGTCAGATAATTGCTTTTACCCTGCAAATAAAATTCAGGAGCAATTGAAAAAACACATTTTGCCAGCCCCTGTACAAATACGTGTTTCTATTAGCAGGTAGCAGACTGTGTCCCAACAATTCCAGCCCTCCTAATTAAATACACCAATGAAAGATGTCAGAAAATAAAGCAGAGAAAGAAAGAAAGAAGGAAAAAGAAAGAAGAAAAAGAAAGAAAGAAAGAAAGAAAGAAAGAAAGAAAGAAAGAAAGAAAG